CTGATAAGGCTCACAATTGACTAAATATCCATGGCGAGTAGCTGCTGACCAGAGCTTATATCCGAACCTTATTGGTTTTCCGTGGATATGTTGTTTCGTACCATGCCTTCCAAAGTATGGTACTATGGTTTCGTCTATTGAAATGTGTGAAGAACCAGCTTTTTTGAAATTTACATAAAAATTTACGTTTAGTTTCGTGAAATATTCTCGAACTTTAGCAAATTTGTCGTTTGGCGGCAAAGACGTACTGTCTGAAAGGTGAAGGTATTGCTGAATTGCGAAAAATCTATTTCGCCTTATGCTAGATGCTACTAGGTCATTGTGCGTGTCACTTTTTACTTCCCAGAACATTCGCATGTACTTTGGCGTCAAGTATCCCGTAAGTAGCAGTATTGCAATGTACACTCACCACCAGTCACATTTAGAGTGTGATTTCTCTGTAAAGCATACAAATTGCTCATATCAGCTATGAACTTTACTATATCGTCGCTATAGAGTAATTCGAAACATTCGACGGCAGTCATCACCTCCTGAGAGTTAGCAAAAACTTCTTCATCACAGTCTCCTTTACCGCAAGTAGTAAAAGAAGAATGGCTAACATTGCTATACCATTTTTATAGTATTGTCTTTTTTCATTTTTTTCTTCGGTGCAGGTAAATTGCTTTCTTCTGCTTCTCCTTCTTCTTCCAGATCATGTAAACAATTTTCATCAGAAAGGGAAGGCTTATTTTGTAGTTCTACATAAGATCAAAGCATGCGACTGGGAAGGTGAAGAATATTAGCTTTATTTTCATCTCCGCTATCTTCGTCAGTAACCACACCATCATCAGGTGGAAATAAAATAATATCGCCTGGGTCCTCCCCGGCCTCCAACTCTGCGGCAATTTCATCTAACGTCAACCTGTAATACGTAAACAAGTTCTCAAACAACATCATATAAGCATAGCGATAAGCCCAAATATAAACAATAGTCTTGTTATAACTTACAATGAATTTAGAACAATAGTTATTATATGGCCCAGTGTCACCCACAGGTGCCACGGCATATTTCCAAAGTTGTAACTATTATGCTATAACTTATTTTTATTGTAAAATACTATTATATTATAGCTTATATATTCATTTATTACATGTAATAGGAAGAAAGCAATACTTACGGTCTGTCCATTTTTGTTTCACTTTATATCGAAAGAAAACACACAAACTCACACTGCTCCAACTACGCGCGAAACAAATGAATGAATTTGACAAATGACATTTGGTTAGTGTTGCCAGAAAAAATAAATAATTAACTACTACTAATTGGCTTTGCTATGATAGTAATAGAATTTAAAAATAGAAACCTATGTGGTAGAAAAAAAATATTAAGCATGACCTGCAAGTGACACTGGGAATTGAAGAGTTAAGAGTAATAGTCGTTAAAGAACTTACCTATTGAAAATTTCTGAGAAAAAAAACATTAATAGTGACATAGATGAAGTAACTGTAGCGTAAAACCTTGCATTGCAACAAAATCTGAAAAACTATTTAAAAACCACAATAAAATATCATTAGTTCCACAACGCTACCGCTAAAAAGTATATAAGAACTTGAAAAGACCGGCGGTTATACCGCATCATCCCCTTCTTAGGGGATGATCGCTTCAGATGAAGCTTGTAAGGCCCTCCTGGCCATAAGGATGAACTACGGGTGTGTTTTAGTCAGTAAGAGTCTGACATAACCTTGCAGCCGGCTGTAGGGTATCCATGAGGATTTCACACAAGCTCCCACGCGTGGGGCTGTATTTCAAAAATAATAATATCAAATAGATACGAGTTTGAACCACAGTTTTACTTTAATTTAGGTATTTTAGTTGAGATACATAGATTGATATTATTTGGTTTTTCTAATTTCCGATACAGAAAATTGAGACTCCTGCTCAAATATACTATGGTTACTGCAGGCAACTACGGTAACCTACACTGCGAGTGGCAGGACATGCATTTGGCCGGTTTTAAAATCAAATTTGTAGTACCTTTGCATAAGTCTTCTCAACTTTATGTAAAGAATTACTATATACGTCGTTGTTTAACTATGTAATTTAGCTAATAAATAGGTACTTCTGATAATAACATATACAGTCGTGGTCAACTAATTAGGAACAATCTCTAGTTAAGCCAAATTGTGATTTTTTTTATTTTTTTTCAACGAGTTTTAAAATATTCCATATCTTTTACATGTAAGTATAATTAGTCATTGATGTGCCCGATTATACAAACAATAACAACTTCTTAAACATTAAACCTCTTTACAGTATAGCTGATAGATTATCATAGTGCTATTTGTTCAAATAATGCTGGCTGGCCATTTAATTAGGGACAATAAGATATTGCGTTCTATTTTCAAAATTTGAATCTCAATACTTTTTTACTTCTTCTCTTATTGTTTCGTGGTAGTTTTGGCGGCAATCCCGATTTTTATTTTGAGGTTTGAAAAATATTTTGAAGAAAAATGGGCAAAAATAAAAGTTGCGATCCAACACTACGAAAAATTATCATGAAGTTTGTTGTCGAGCATGGTTGGCCATACCGAAGGATAGCAGAACATTTAAATTGTTCAAAAACTATGGTATACAATGCAGTGCAACATGTCAGACGCAATAACACAGCTTTAAATGTGCCCAGAACGAAAAGATCGAGAAAAACAACTCCGCAAGAAGATAGAATGATAACCAGGTTAGCTAAGAAAGATCCGTTTCTAGGCTCTATTTTAATTAAACACGAAGTGTTTGAGGCAGACGAAAGAGCTGGTGTCTCAGCGAGGACCGTTCGACGTCTGGTAGAAGCAGGGTTGTTCGGAAGAGTGGCTCGCAAAGTACCGTTGTTAAAGAAAGAACATAGAAATGCTCGTTTGTCGTTTGCACGTAAATATGGACATTGGACCTACGCCCAATGGCAACATATATTATTCTCTGACGAGACCAAGGTTAATTTGATTTCTTCAGATGGAAGGCAATACGTACGGCGTCCAGTAAAAGCGGAAATGAATCCAAGATTCACAAAAAAGCAGGTGAAACATGGCGGTGGAAACATTAAAATGTGGGGTTCATTTTCTGGACGTGGAGTGGGACCTGTGAGGAAAGTTCAGGGTAACTTAGACCAACATCAATACAAGGCAATATTGGAGGAAACGATGCTTCCCTATGCTGAGGAGCATCTCCCTATTATATGGACGTTTCAGCATGATAACGACCCGAAACATACCGCTCGTTCAGTCAAGTCTGTCTTACCAGTCAGTCAGTATCGGTGCTAGATTGGCCAGCAAATAGCCCGGACCTTAACCCAATCGAGCACCTTTGGCACGAAATCAAGAAAAAAGTTGTCATTTATCGTACCACAACTTTAGATGAACTTAATGAAGCTTTTTGTGTGGCATGGGCAAACATTCCTGTCGAAATATGCCAGAAACTGATAATGTCTATGCCACATCGTTGTCAAGCGGTAATTACTAACAAAAGGTTTTGCTACTGGGTACTGATTTTACACGTAATAAAATGGAGCTGTTAAAGATATTATAATACTGCAGATTATTAGTTTTGTTTAACTCTATTTTTCATTATAGTTTACTGTCCTTAATTAAATGTCCAACTACAGAATTATACCCTAAAATTGAATACATATTCAACCTTCGATATTAAATACTTTTTTCTATTTATTTATTCTTTTAATTACAGCCATTTATAGCATAATAATCGGCACAAATTATGCAAATAATAGGTGCTGCGAAATGAATAGGGTTTTATATTTATATGTACATAACCGGTTATTGCTCTTCACTATCTTGAAAGTCCCTAATTAGTTGACCACGACTGTATACCTATATAACATTTAAACAAAGAAACGTTAAAAAAAACATTTTTATTAACTTCCGCATTACCATAACTGATTTATTATGAATTATATATGAATACTAGCTGTCCCAGCGAACATCGTACCGCCATAAAAAAATAGGGGTTGGTGGTAGAAGGGTGAAAATTTAGGGTTGTATGTATTTTTGTATGGTGTATCATAAAAACATTAAAAAAAAACTAAAATTAAAAAAAAAAATTAGCGGTGGATTACCCTTAACATTTAGGGGGATGAAAAATAGATGTTGTCCGATTCTCAGACCTACCCAATATGCACACAAAATTTCATAAGAATCGGGAAAGCCGTTTCGGAGGAGTTTAACCACAAACACCGTGACACGAGAATTTTATATATTAGAAGAAGGGAATAGGGATCTATCACTGGTACAGCTACTATGATACGCGGATCTTGAGTTTATTAAGGTGGACTTTGGCATTGAACTCGATATTTTTAGAGCTCCCCAGACACGATAGTGCGATATGCGTTGTGCGTATTATCTTATCACATTTAGAATGCGAGACGTCTCGAACTACGAACTGTTTATTTTATTTGTATTATGACTTATTCATAAAATATATGTTTTAACCAGACACATATTTTTATAATTATTTATCTAAACGTTTGCTACAATTAACGAGAGTGTGCGTTTCTTTTATCCGTGTGGCAGTTACATCATTTAAACTTTCTTTTTACATGTTAAACATTGTTTTTTCGTTCTCCACTTGATATAATTGCACGATTGTAAAATGTGCATACATGACACACGATAATAATACATCACCAGCCACTGGACCGTAATTACGCAATGAAGGGATATCCTCCGCGCGGTTAGATATCCTCTAGCGACCAATGAAGCTGTCAAGGCCCTTCTGTATAATAAATTCACGTGTTAAGTTATGAGCAGTAAGGAACCAATTTGTTTAAATTCAGGTAACCCGTCACATGGAAAAAACGCTCTTATTGAACTTATTTACAAAATTGTGTGGTAAATAACATAATATACTATAGAAAGTCTATATTTTATGGACAAGATCAAAGTTGATGGACCTATATTTGAAACCCTAACAATTACATTAATTATTTTTAATAGAATTTTGAAAATAATTTACTCACACTTGAATCTCGCACGGTTTCAACAAGCGGCCTCTGGAGTAAACGATCACTTTGAAGTACCTCCCCTTGTGGTACACGGTTACGTGGTTCGAGTCTTGGTAGTGCACAATCTTGTCAGTTTCCACGCCGGGCACGCGGACAGTGTTGAACAACCTTTCGTATTGCCAAGAACACAACGGGACCATGTTTTGGAGCATTATCTGTTCAAAAATTAAATAGCATAAATCTAATGTTATAGCGTAGAAAGTGATAGAATAAAATTTAATCAAATTTTCCGTAGATTCTCAGGGGAAACTGTTAATTTGCCATTCAGGCAAACATATGTTTTATTGTTATTTATATGACATACCAACAAAACCGATGCACTAACTGCCGTGTTCAGAAAAGTCAAATTAATTTAATGTTTTATCAAGTCATGTTGCCTCATTCTATTGTAGGTAACAGTGACAGTATAAATTTTAGTCACACTCATAAGTTAATTAACTGTTTAACATAAAAGTTTCTGTGTTAGTGACACGAAAAGGAATTTCAGAAACGCGCTTAATAAAGTTTCCATAAAAATCATGTTGTATATGTTGGTGACTGGTTGCGGCTATAAACCTTTTATAATTGTTTCACATATTGTAAGACTTTTACTTTACATATCACTATTGACACCTCTTTTTAAGTGTGTAACATGCTCACCGGTTCAAGCTCCTGTCTGTCGATAAGTCTCCTGAACCTCAAGCTGAGATATATGAAGACCGCGGCACGTGCGGCCTGGTTAGTAGTGGCGGTCAATAAAATGGCACCGGTACCGTAGAAATTGGAGTTGACCATCAGTGGCGAACGACCTCGTAAATATACGTACTCTTCCCACCAATCAGACACGTAGTTACTAGACCACCTACAATGTATTATGGTTTTTAGTTTTAGTTTTTTATTCGATATTTACCGTACGCCTCTTACGGGGCGCTAAATCTAAAATACAATAGAACATCGACAAATATTCCCATTTTAATTACGACCTTTAGCACTGGTCAGGTAGCCACACATTATAATAGGGAGATGATAGTCGAATAACGAGAATTCCAAGCTGAGCTTAAGAATAGGAGCTCTTGATACTTTTATTTATATTATGCGGCAATGTTAGCTGCAGCCATGAGCATGTAGATCTGCGCTGAGAAACAACCTCGGCATTTACTTGACAACAATACAGTATTTTCTATATTAGTTAGTATTTTGTATATTAGTTATCAGTAGGTATTAACTTTTAGTTACGATACTTGGACTGATATGTATTGAGGTACATTATTATAGCTATAATATTTACGCAAATTAGGATAGCTTGACAGAAGTTGTCTTATCAAACTGCAGCGCCACTTACCAGCTCCAGTTGTGAATCTAATTCTTAAAACGGCTCACTCAAATTCAAATATCATCAAAATCGGTCCAGCCGTTTAGGACAATTACATACACACGGCCTAGTATTTTTTTTTAATAAAAATAAAGTTAAATGTGTAAACAATATAATTAAAAATTATAACCATTTAATATTTATTGCGTGTGTAGGTACTAAATTTATTAATTAATAAATAAATTCTATAATTATAATAATAATAAGCTATGTTTTTTCTACAAAACTAAGCTAACTACTATTAAGTAAGTGGACCTTTGATTTTATTTTATTTATATGAATGAAGTCAAAGGGTTTTTGTAAGTATAAATAATTATTCTGGCATGGAATATATTATAACTACCGATTATGTATAACCAGTCATTTGAGGACGAAGAGTTACGACAAATTATAAGTTGGAGATAACATTTCTACATTGGTATGCAATATGCTTACCTAGAGTTAGCCTATCAATTCTGACTTTCAGACTATCCAGGAGAGCTGTTCTTCAATAAAAAGTATTAATGTAATGTTTTGCGATGATATATTCTGTAATTCTGTAATATCAACGCTTACGTTAAGCGTTAGGTCAAACAAGATTCTCTTTAACAAATGCAAAACATTCTCATTACAGGTCAATTGAAAATATATAATTTCTCCATTATGCATCATGTTTGCCCTTTTTTTGTTCATCTGAGTCTAATTTATAAATGGACTGGAAGATATACTTTATTATAATCAATAAAGGAAATAATTTAAAAAATGAAGCCAAATAAATAACATTTTCGAGATGCTGAAATATAAATACAAATAATGTTACAGTACAGCCTCGCTAAGTATCGCGATATAGATCACGTTTTTATCATGCTCGGTTATTAAAGTTCTATGGATATATATCATATCACATCACAATACTGATCAGGGGGGCAGGAAGGAATATCAGATACTATTCGGGAAATGGTATAGATCTATACGGGGTAACTAAATTAAAAAACCAAAGTTGTAAATATTATTTCAGGTAGAAGTATCAATGTAAAATGTTAAGTTATTTATGCCCTGAAACCATCTATTTAAAAACATTAACAATAGAAGTTAATATGTTTTTTTATTACTTTGGTAATTAACACAGTAATAATGAGCAAACAAAATGCTTACCAGGATTTCAGAACGAGATAACGTTGTAATTTTACTGCGATTGTTTCTTCAAATTCCTTTGCGAGATTTTCTACTCTTTTGTAATTCTCATCGTCCAACAGAGGTCGAACGCTAGTCAAATACTGGAAATAAAATATAAGAGGTGAACATGGAGCTAACAATAGTATTCTAAATATAATCATTACTACGTTAATTAAGCCATTTACCCGTTGCATGGTGTCTTTCACAGAGGGCAAAGGTAATCTCGGCAGGGATCCTTGAAAACTATAGAGTTTGGGTTTATTCCAGCCTGAGAGTACTTTTACAACGCTGACCCACAACATTGTTTTGAGTGATATCTTCGCACCAGGTGCTCTTGATTCGTACATCCATCCCTGATAAAAGGATTAATAAATAAAACTAAAGTCAAGTGAAGATAACATATTTCGTTTATGAAGCGCATAAATTATAATGTATATTTCGGCCCTATTCTATGGTGAATTTCTAGTGTCGCGAAAATTTAATGCGCTTATACCTTATTTCTTGTCTGGTGGCGGCAATTTATTGCTTATTTTAATATATATAAATAGTATAACAAACATTTAGTTTTTCTATCTTTGATATAAAATCTAAAGCACGTTACAGATTCTTGATTCTACAGAAGTGCGTACAGAGCGCAATCCAAAGTTCCGTTGTTGTTACTAGTACATAATATAACAATGATGACATGGGTCACTAGAGCATTTGTTCGCGCAATGATCCTAGGGCTTATAATGAGGATCTTTACTAGGTCAGCAAATCAACTTAAAATCAACAGTATAATGATCTAAATTGCTGATATTTCTTTTTCAATACTTAATGGTGCAGATGATATTATCTACACTTCCAGACACATCTATCGGCCATCCAGCAATTTAAGTTTGACTGTCCCTAGCTTAAACTGAATGTTACAGTGAGCAAAAAAATTTTATTAACACAGTTTTGAATCTGATTTTTGCTCAAAATTATTGCTCAACCTTAAAACCTTATTTTAACTACATTCCGTTGAAACTTATAATAACAGTACAGTTTGTCTATAAAGTCGTGACACGAATGTTTGAGGGACTAACATTATTCATGTGTCTGGCAACACCAAACTTATGTACATCAGCTGTCATCGAGTTTCAGTTGTGGAACAGTTTTCCTTTTGTATTTTTTATTGTTTGGATTAAACTGTAATAAATTAAGACGAAACTACGGAGAAAGGTATAAAAATGAGTAAAGTAAATCGGAGTGGCACGCGGGAAGTGATTTTTAAAGTTTTCCAGCGATGTTTCGAAGACTACCAAGCTGGACGAATTTTGTGGGATTTGGATGATGTTTATGGGTGAACAGCATCTATGACGGGTATGTAATCTGCCTGAAGTTACAAAGGAGATTGCTCAAATTGGCCTAAATGCACAAAAAACATTGGCGTAATTTATAATTTAATTTACAGTCATTAGATTTCAACGGACACCTTTGTATAATATATTTACTTTAAAAAGGACTTTTAATTTTACCGGTTTGGAAAACATACGAATCATTTTTAATGGCTATGGATGTAGTAACATTCAGCCAAAGACTGATCGAAGTTGTTTATATAACATAAAAACAAATCTATTTTGTAAAGATCAATATAATAAATATTTTTTTTATTACACTTTTTTATTAATATCCACAACTATATTATCATTTTCACTAGATGCAAATGTGCTCAGACAATTATTATAGATGGTAGGCGACATCATAAAGTCTATTGCCATACATTTTTCGCCAAACACCTCCATAAACACATTATAATCTGTATATATGTTAGATTTTAAGGTATCTATCTATGGGCCTACGTTCCCTGACTATAAATTAATAAATAAATAACATTATAAGGTGTGATACACTAAAAATCTAAAATATGGTCTTTCATCTTAAAAACATAACAAAAATAATGAAGCTGCTGAATATATGGCTATAGAACCTAAATCTCTTAGCTTTCTTTGGTTAAAGAGTTTAAAAATTCTCTCTAATCTGTGGCTCATTCACAATCATCACACAGTTTCTGTCACAGAGTACCATAATTATAACCGGAAATGACACCTGATTTTAAAAGTTACTCTTATGCATTAACTTTAAAAACAGGCAACCATCTGTTAATCTACATGCTCTATATACCTGAATCTAATCCATAATTTCAGTACTTGGCTTGATTTCCCTAGTTTACTATATAACTTATTTGTTTTATTTGTATTAATATGTTCATTGTATATGGTTTATAGAAGTTCTCAGGGGTGTCCGTCAATAATATTCGTTTCTACAGTAATTTATACATAATTTCGAATCTAGGAAACAATTTTTCATGATTATTGGTCTTTAGGCCAAACATGTATGGAAGCTGAGCAATCTCCTTTACTCAATTTACGATTTTGAGACCAAAAAAGGCATTGCTTACATTGCACATTTTTAGGTTAGATTGACATTGTAAATAGGTAATATTGTAGTACGACCATTTCTTTTGATACGTTATTATGGTTGAACTCGACATCGAGAGTCGGATACTCTCTGATTTTCCTGAAAAAAGGTAAAAAAATATGTAACGGAATAGAAACAATAACTTATTGACATGAAGCAATTAATTCAAAATTGGTAGAAAACCTGACCGACGCAAGTTTTAAGAATGATGGAAAGTTTGAAACTCCTGGGAAAACAGGCAAGGCCGACCAAAGAAAGAAATGGTCACATAAAGAACCATGGCCAGATTCTTTTAGTGAAGATACCAATCACTAATTTTACTAACTGCACATTTACAAATTACACACATCAAAAGTGTCTAGGGATCAAGCATTTTTATGCGGATTTCTTGAGATTGAGATGTGGCTTTGTAATAAATTTATGATTTTATAAATTTATATGGATCCTTTTTGGTGCATTTCATAATTTGAATCAGGAACTGTGAATCAAATTCGAGTAAAAGATGAAAATCAGCTGTCAATATTTTCCCTATAAAAACATACAACGCATTGAAGACATTATTAGTGCTACTGTTTCCCTACTACTGATTAAAACCAACGTTATTATGGAGCGGCGACGTCATTTAAGCAGGGAAGAAATGCTCAGAGCCGTGGGAATGATAGAAGCTGGTTCCCGGCAACGTACTGTGGCTTTAGCTCTGAATACAAGTCAGAGTGTTATCAGTCGACTTTGGACACGATACCGAAGCACTGGTACCGTGGCTGAGCGCCATGGAGGACGGTATCGCTGCACCACACGGAGACAAGACCGATACATTCAAATCTTAACTCGAAGAGCTCCAACAATAACCGCCATGATGTTAGCCGTGAGGCTTCATCACTCTTCAGGGAACTTAATTAGCGACCAAACAGTCAGAAACCGCTTGCATGAAGTGAACCTTCATTCCCGAAGACCGCTACGGGTACCACCTATAGCAATGCACAATCGTAGGATTCGATATCAATGGGCTCTTGAACACAGAAATTGGGCAGAAGAACAATGGCGTTTCGTGTGCTTTTCTGATGAGTCTCGTTTTGGTATGAGACCGGATACAAGACGTATACGACACTGGAGAACCCCTGGACGCCAACAGCGATTAAAATCCTGCCAGGAAGTCCATCCTTATAGTGGTGGAACCATCATGGTATGGGCGGGTATTTGGATCGGCGGAAGAACTGAGTTGATTTGGATCAGAGGCAACCTCAACGCTCAAATTTATGCTGAGACGATTGTATCAGACGTCATCGTTCCTCTACAAGTGCAAAACCCTTATTTCAGTTAATGCATGATAATGCACGACCGCACACCGCAAGAGTTGTAAGACAGACTCTCGCCGCAGCTAACATCAATGTCCTGCCCTGGCCTGCTCAGTCGCCAGACTTGAACCCGATTGAGCATGCATGGAATATGCTACAGAGAAGAGCTCTGCCGAATATGGAGGGTATCCAGTCGCAAGAAGACCTTTTTTTGTTGTTGCAACGAACATGGGCGGCCATTCCACAGCGTGATTTGGATGAACTCATTTTGAGTATGCCAAACCGATGTTCTTGTGTTGTTAGTGTTCGCGGTAGAAATACGGATTATTAATTGTTTAAGTTACCCAATAAAATTTTAGAGAAAACTGTTATTTCAGTCTTTTTTTCGAACTTTTGTGTTAGTGGTTCAAATGTCAAAAATCCCTTTATTAGGAAAATGGCAAATTTCTTTATTAATGCAAAGGTGACTTGGTTTATCGTTACTGTGACAAACGAAAACACTTTATTTGATGAATCCTTAAAGAAAATTTTAATTAATATCAATCAGGAGAAAAGTTATTGCAAAAATATATGTTGATCCCTAGACACTTTTGATGTGTGTATTTCTCTAAATAAACTTTTTATATACTATAAAATGATTTTTAGTATTATTTTCTTAACAAGTGTGTAAAAAATCGTCGTATGATGATACTTGTGTGTATTGATGATTACCTAACGGCTCTAGTCTCAATGGCACCTCAGCGGAATCACCAACATTACACATTTTTACACTATAAAGTACTATTTTATCAATAATAATTTTATTCTGATTCATTTAAATATGCTTGGCTAAACTTTTTATAAGCATAGGTACCTACTATATATAAAACAGAAACAAAATACGACTGTATAGTGTGTCATATTAATTACCTATTTTACTTGAATGAACTGCTAGTATCAAAATCATTTTGGTCAGACTGTATAGGGTTGCTACATGCATACTAGTGGCGCCATCATTTAATGTCACGACTTCATAGACAAACTGTAAGTGCGTCCATAGATGTCTCCGGGAGTATATAATGCAGTTTCTGATTGCTTCAAACGGAACCAATCAGTTTCATTTGCACCATTAATGGTGCAAGTCAATGGTGCCACCGGCAAATAAGTTATTGAAAATAAAAAAATAAGTTCATTAAATCCTAACAATTTGTTGCAAAAAAATTGTATTTACTATAAATAAATACTAATCTGCTGTGACAGATTTACAAATTTTGTCGATATGTCAGAGATTTCGGACTGGCAACCTTGGTTCCGTTTAAGAGTAAGAATTAACGTTATAAGAATCCATTTCAAATTACAGTACTTTTACGAGAGCTTTTTGTCATTTCTCGGAATGGCATGACGCCTTTTTCGCCACCGAGGATTGCAACAAGGATTTCTGAGTGTGGACTCCTCCCGCTCATTTCTTCCAGCTCGGAACTCGGTGAAATAAGCAGGGTCCTATCCACTACAACCACAGACATTACTTTTGCACCCGGCACCCGCTCCGAGGATCGAGATCCCCAGAAAGCGAGCCATAAATGCTGCCGTGGTTGTGACACCTCGTTAAGACCATCCACGATGCCGCTACCTTGTATGCAGCTTAACAACTTGTCCGAGTGGAATTATTTTAAGTTAATATATTATGTTAATATTATTTCAGATTCAATTATTTTTCAAAAACTCTAAAAATTAATGATATCTCATATAAAAGGATTTTGACTGTATCTTTCGCGATTACTAACGGAATTTCATGTTTTTAGAGAAGTTAGAAAGAATATCAGCTTACCTTGTACATCAACAGTAGTTTCAGCGTGTATCTCATTAAGAAAATAACTGATAGCCACATTGTTAAAGCTGCCAAAAGACAAGCTATTATTTGCCATAGGGTCGAAGTGCTGAAAAGTAAATTCAATTAATTATTAAAAATCACTCTAAATACTTAACAATATTTATTGGTTTTTAGTTACCCGGGAAGTATCGTTAGTGCCTTTTGAATAAGTCCGAACGGTATGTTAAAGCCACCAAAGTGTGCAGCCACCAATAAAGTCCACAGTACGTAAAGAGATTGCAGGTGCCCAGGATATACTCCATTGTGGACACTATTCTGTGAATAATATCTCACAGTTATTATATTTATATTTTTAAGCATTAAACTGCTAAACCGCTCTAAACTCACAGTGGGATTTATAAAACTAAAGAAAAATTTACTAGAAAATTCTTAAGCTTTATATATCCCGCTGTAAGTTTATAGAGTAGCCACATCTAATAAGCTACAGTCATCACAAAATATAAGGCCCGTTTTGACATTCGTAACTAGTGATGTAACCATACGACTCGGTACACAATACTTACGGTAAATCTATTCAAGCTTGTCTGAGTATTTGATTGATTTGATTATAAATTGTAAAATGCATTGGATTTAAGTTCTGATTAAGAAAGGAAACTTAAACTTTATTATATGAATTGAATGATAATGGATCGGAAGATTAATTAGTCTTTAATAAAAAAAAACAGTTACTTTCGCTTCGTTTGCTTTTCAATATTCACACAAAAACAAATTTAAATAAATATGGCCCAAAATTTTATGAATTATGCAGAATCTGCCAAGGTATAACCTAATGTTTCCAAATCATAATATGCAGCCACCTCGATATAAAAAAAAAAATCTAATCCCATTATTTACAAAAAAAACTAAAATACCCTAGACTCAACATCATACAAGGAAACAGTGTTTCTATAACCCCTAAAACATATATCACCATAATATTGGCTATGACAGAGATAAACACAATGCCATCATCATGGACTTATAAAAAAAGGCGGACAGAGTCCCGGTAAACCATAAACTGTGTCGCTTAGAGTCGGCCAGGTCGCTGTACGTACAAGCCGGCACGCACACATTCACACAATAGTCAGCCACTACTCGTGCAAACGTCAAAGCAGCCGACACGTTTCGTGGAGATAAAAAATAAGCTAAACAAGATATCTTGCTTGTAAAAAGGTGTAAAAACCGTAGTGACCGAAAGAAAAAAACCAGGAATCACGTTTCATAGGTAAATGAATAATTGAATCACTTTTTTCTAGTTTTTAGAAATCGAAATCAATTTTAATTCTAAGGACAAAATGATTAGTCTAAAGCCCAGTGTTGTCAATGTTCATGTAACCATATTACCTAAAATATGGGAAATTGGGTTGACATTAACTTCAATCTATTATTTATTATTCTTTTTTATCAGATTTCCTAAAGAAAATGTAGTATGGAGAAATTACTGGACAATGAATGATTTCCAAACAAATATGTAGTAGTGTCATTTTTAGTCTTCATTTTGAAGCTTAAGACTTATATACAACTAAAGGAGGACTCCGGCGTGTTATTACGTATGCATTACCTCAAAAGGTTGATTAAATTTTTTAACCGACTTCGAAAAGAAAGAGGTTCGCAATGCGTCATATTGTTTTTTTTATTGTTGTTCGCGCAGATCTCCGAGATTCGTGGACCGTTTACGATGATTCTTTTTTTGTTTTAATCAGTTTACTAGCGAGATGGCTGCATATTAGTTTACTGGAGATCTGATGAGTACTTTCGGAGGAAAACAATGGAACTCCTCAATTACAAACAGTACTCAATGGGTGTTAGTTTATTTTAAGAAATATGAAAGAGAATGCAGGCCAGGCCATCTATATTTAGTTGATTTACCCAATATTGAGAAAATTCGATACATTCTAGAATTTCTAATGAGTCCCGACTGTTAAAGTAACTTTGTTCCTTATTAAACAGAATTCTAGACTACTGGACTTGGTTTTTTCTTTTTAGTACATTTTTTTTTTATTTTTGACATTTTAATTTCATTATTTTTTAATTACACGAGTTGTATATTTTCTAAATATTCTTTTAAAACCTTTCACTTTGATACCTCGCTTGACGGGTTATAAAAATACTTATAATTTTTTTTTCAAAATGTTTCATTTTGGCGCATAAAATCTGTTATTTTGATTTTTTGAAATTTTAATATACCGAGTGCCACTCACACAATCACGACAAATCAAATGACACCTCGCATGTCAAAATCCGTCAAGACGTTCAGGCTGTAGGGCGTGCCAAATTATTGGACATACATACATACATACGCTCGAAAAACATTATCCTCCGCAGTCGGGCAAAAAGTAAAATTTTGAACAATCAAAATATTTTCATGTTTTTACTGTGTTTTATTGGTAAAAAATTGGCTAACCTAGCAACCCTACAATTCACTCACTCATCAATAGCCGCCGCCATTACGGTGCCTCAGTATTGTCTTAGCCGAAACTCTGTCCGCCTTTTTTTATACGTCCATGGCCATCATTAATAAGTTTGCAATCCCTGCCCCGTCAAATGGATATGCTGTATTAAGATCTTCTAAACAACAAGATAATGACACAGTTAGAATAAATTTCTGCTCTATTTAATTTGTTAGCTAAATACCATTTGATTTTTCTCAAAATATAGTACATTTCGATAATAAACATTTGCAATATAATTCCACGTAAATTAAGTAATAAAAGTGACCATATATATCTGACCAATAAATGACTATTAATGACTTCTATTTGCCTTTGATTTGTCAGAAAATTGTCTTAGACCTGACAAATATCCTAATATTGTACAGTGAGAGATGACGGACTAGAGAGAAACGGTGGAAGAACAGCTATACTCATTAATAACACAATTCCGTATATAAATAAAAGCGTTATCTTCTGTTTTAGTCAATTTAGCTGAACCTGTTTGGAATGATTTTTAGAAAACAAACAAGCTCTTTCTAACACTCAGTAAAAGTACTATTGATAATATTAGTATTTTCACCACAGACGTTCGACTAGTTTTTACGTTTAATAATGCAGTAGTAGCTGAACTGTGAAACTTATATTCGATTTTGATAATGACATGACCAGGACTGTCTGGAAAGGTTTACCACAATGCTCTGTCCTAAGTCCTCTATTATATTATGTTTATACGTATGATTTAGAGACTGTGCTTGATAATAATATTAAAATTCTTCAATCAAAAGCGATCTTATTATCTACTTCAATGATAGCGCTATAAAAAGAGCTTAAGCCTTTTAGTGTCCAATACAAATCATGTATGATGTTGATGGTATTCCCGTTCAGGACAGCTTTAAATACCTGGGCTCCACACCTATTTCAGGTTCCATACCCAAAGGGTAAAAATGGGAAGCTATTACTAAGACTTCTCCATCCGTCTTTTTGTATCTCGTGAACTGTGATAGATAGACAATCGAAATTTAACAGATAATGATTTTTTGTTGCCGCTGTAACAACAAATACTAAAAATAGGATAAAATTAAATGTTTAATGGTACTATCATACAACAGTCGTAATTTTTTGAAGTGTTGTGGTCTATTTTAATAACGGCAACAGCGGGGCTCTTCAGTCAAAAAATTACGATTGTTGTATGGTGACCCGTGCGTGAGCCCTGCTGGTGGACGCTCGTTATATTCACAGAATATTAATTAAATTTATATTAAATGGTCATTAAAAGTTTTTGTTATGGTGGACGCTCGTAATATTCACAGAATATTAATTAAATTTAAATTAAAAGTTTTTTTTAAACTAATGGCAAATTATATAAAAAGGAGTTTTTATATCAGGATTGACATTAATATGGGGATTCCGGGCACAGTTGAAGCTTAAAATTTCTAAGAATACTATATCTTATTTTAAGTCTCCATTTGACAATGACTCACCTATAAAATCAAGGGCACATACTGCAAACTATTTGGGATTTTATTATTATATTAATGGAAATAGTTATACCTATTATGAAACTGAAATAAACAAACCCTAAATCTTGCTAGGCGCTTTTTCCAGGAACGTAAACCTGACTCCCACACTAAGTAAAGTACTTCTCGGTCAAAATTAACATCCCATCCATCATGAGTAATCGCAAAAGAGAATGCGACTGCTGAGTGAGCTTCCGCCATCTTGGATTAACACCTAGGACAAACAAAACATAAAAAGTACAAAAATGACTTCCAGATGAGGGACATCTTAATACACTAAATATTGACTGTTTCAGAAACAAGAAAACATATCTGTGAAAAATAATAATCTTTTCTACATGATTTGATAACACTTTTCCATCATGCTTTGAATATGCAAGCTTTTCATCCTCATTGAAACACACCAAGTAAAAAACACCAATTAAAAATGTAAATTAAGACAAATTAAAAACAGAATTATGGATTTGTTAGCACTGTATACAATTTCAGACGTTTTCCCTTTTGTAAATGGCAATAAAAGCCACCTGGATAGAGGAAGATGCTGGTTCGAATCCTATCTGAAACCTGGACTAATTCTTATTCAAATAATCAGAAATGTCACATTATTTACATGTTGGTAAAATTAAAATACTTGCAGTTGCAGTGTTTATTTACATAATCATACAATATTAAAAAAACAGTATACTTATATGCTGAAAAGTAACCTGAAGCTGTATTTCTTTATCATTTTGTAAATTGAGTAAGTTTAGGTATAAATATTAAAAAAAAATGCAAACAACATATAGTAGGCACTCAATAATCCAGTGCTTGCCAATTTGGCACTAAGGCTCGTATTACAAATCAAGTGCTGATCCCCACTTGAGCACAGTTACAAAGGGACGTCGCTATGTGCCATATGAATCAAAAGAGTAATGAAGAAACTTAAGGATCACTCATTTTGGATACCGAAAATGAAGGGAAAAAACAAAGAAAACAAAGAATTTACAACTACAAACAGAACATCAATCAGCAAAATCGCTACGAACTTCTACAAAAGCCTTTATAGTTCATCCGAACTATCAGTAACAATAGAAAATCTAAACAAAGAAGAAGAAGTCCCTTACATACTAGAAAGCGAAACGAGACAAGCCATACTATCACAAAAGAACAACAAAGCTCCAGGAGAAGATAAAATAAACAATGAACTGCTTAAAGCGTCATTGAGTACTATACTAAAAACACTTACTAGTCTATTTAACGAAATCTTAGATAGTGAAATTATTCCGGAACAATGGACAAAATCAACTATAATATTGATTCACAAAAAGGGCGATAAAGACAAAATAGATAACTATAGACCCATTAGCCTCATAACAAACTTGTACAAAGTTTTTTCGAAAATTATTTTAGGCAGGCTCACCAAACGACTAGACGCGGAACAACCAAGAGAACAGGCAGGCTTCAGAGCAGGTTTTTCAACGGTAGACCACATGCATGTCGTAAAACAAATAATAGAAAAGTACAATGAGTACAGGAAACCATATTATATTTCCTTTGTAGACTATAATAAGGCATTTGATTTGGTATCTCATAACTACATATATAAAGCTTTGTTCAATCAAGGAATAGAAAATAAGTATATTAGACTCATAAAGAATATATACAGCAACAACACGGCAAAAGTACAATTAGAAAAAATTGGAGAGGAATTTAAAGTCCAAAAAGGAGTCAGACAAGGGGATCCTCTATCTCCCAAGCTTTTTTCAGCTGTGCTAGAGGAAATTTTCAGAAAATTATATTGGGAAAAGAGGGGACTAAATATTAATGGATGTAGGCTGTCACACCTGCGATTTGCGGACGACTTGATACTGTTTGCGGAGGACCCAGTCACTCTACAAAAAATGCTCTTACAACTTGCAATAGAAAGTCAAAAAGCAGGTCTGACCATGAACACAAATAAAACAAAGATCATGACCAATAGACATCAACAAAAAATCTGTGTCAATAATCATGATATTGAGTATGTGAATGACTACACATATTTAGGCCAAATAATTTCACCAAACTCGCATATGGACAAAGAGTTGCAAACACGAGTAAACAACACCTGGGCTCGTTACTGGTCGCTGAAGGAAATATTGAAGAATAAGAACACTCCAATGCCAATCAAACGTAAAGTATTCAACATGTGCATCCTACCAATACTTACATACGGGTGTCAAACTTGGGGCCTGACAAAGGCGCACAGTCAAAAACTCAAGGTATGTCAGCAGGGGATAGAGAGAAGCATGCTGCACATCCGTTTGAAAGACAAGTGGAGACTGAGCAGAATTAGAAAAATCACAGGTGTGGCAGATGTTTCCAAGAAAATAAGGAGACTTAAATGGCGTTGGATTGGACATGTGATCAGATCCCCCAAAGAAAAATGGACCAAAGAGGTCCTATCTTGGTACCCCAGAGAGGGGAGGAGGACAAGAGGGCGGCCACAGAGAAGATGGGAGGATGACCTACCACAAGGATGGCGCAGATTAGCAAGAGATCGAATAAAATGGAAAATTCTAGAGGAGGCCTATGTCTGAGGAGGACAACCTGATTAAAATAGTGCTGGTGTACCAATTTTCTTTTATTAGTAAGTAAAGCATTGTAAAATTAAATCAAATTGTAGCAATAGCAAATTAGTAATACGGCTAGTTAGTAAGTAGTATAATAACTATATCAGAGAATAAAGGCTATTTTTATTTTTATTTATTTTTATACAATTAATAGGTCAATACCCTTCCTGCGAGTCTATTGAGGTAGGTCTGGCGCCCAAGTACTTATTTAATTTTATTTCAACCTATCCACATATTCCTTTAAAATACAAATTTTGATTTTCACACAATATTAGCATTTATTATACATTGTATGCGTAAAGGTTTTTTTTATATAGCCAGGTAGGCAAATGACTCCAACCCACCTGATGTTGTGGTGATAAAGTCCAAATGCAAAGATAGCTGGTACATCAGTTATAAATTGCCTCAAACATGCCTCTCTTAAAGAACCCCAGATGGTAGGTAGGGGGGAACATGTGCGCGGGCAAAGAATTCCACTTACAAATAGTATGACAAAGAAATAAGTCAACAAATTTCTTTGTTCGTGCAGGAATAGTTGCCACATTAAGTTGGTTGCAACATAAGCCAAAAGGTGATGGAGGGATAAGGGAGAATAACTCCTCAAAACACTTGCAGTGGTATGGTCAGTAGAATTAAATAGGTGTTACTTTGTATACAAATCTGTTAATCTGGCTGAGGAAAAACAATTGGGTGCAAGATTAATGAGTGCCTACTGTATTACTAAATAAACAGGTTAAAACTGGTTGCTCAATAACGGCCAGTTTCAATATTATGATCAAACTCCAATATTTGATTGTCCTATTAGATATTTGTTGGTAATATATTTTTAATATTAAAACGGGACCAGATTGTCTTTACCTTTTATCAGAGGTTGATTATTACTAAAACTGCTCATAACACTATAAGGAGAAAATCATGTAATTATATTCCAAATTTTCAGTTTGTATTCTATTTATCAATTTAAAACTTTTCTTGTTTTTAAGTATAATGTTATTAACTACAGTATACTTATGTAAGATTGTAAAAACAAAAACAGTCGTCTAATTAAAAATAAATCTTGACATAATCAATACATCCACTACTTTTCAGCATACCAAAATATGGGCCAGTGTCAGATAAGTTACATCACTAACGCTTTTAACTAATACATCACTAAGGTAGGATATTAATTATATAAAATAAAGATGGCGCAGAGTGCTAGACTTTCTTAGTGTTTTATTTAATCAACCGACATTACATGGCGCTGAGGACAGGATAAAGGAGATAACGAAGATTTAAGAAGAAAATGGATAATTTAAAACCTCCGGCAGCACTGAATTTTACGGGTAATTTGGCTGAAAATTTTCGAGCATGGCGATAGAGATATTTGAAATTTATTATGAAGCGAGCGGGGCATCCTCGCCTGATAAATTGACTCCAAATCAAAAGAAAGCATTATTATTGCATTGTCTTGGTGAAGATGCTCTAACTAATATTTTCGACCACAAAGATGACCTAACCTTTGAAGAAATTTTAAGCAAAATGGAGGCACATTGTGCACCACATACAAACGAAACTTATTTGAGACATCAGTTTTTAAACCGTAAAATTAAAGATGGAGATAATTATGACATGTACATAACTGATCTAAAAAAGTTGGCTAAGCAGTGCAATTTCAAAGAATTGAGAGATGGTTTGGTACGAGATCAAATAATAATTGGGATAAGAGATCATGGCCTGAAAGAGAGGTTATTAAAAGAAGAGGAATTGACATTAGAAAAGTGCATTTTGTTATGCAAGGCGAGTGAAGCAGCGACTAATCAGTTGAAAGAAATGGAATGGTGGAAAGATATGTTCAAACGGTGAAAAATATATTTAAAAAATGTTTGTATGACAATAAAGATCCTTTCCTAGCCTTGATGGAATACTGAAACACACCAATAGATTATAAGACTCCATCACCAAATCAATTGTTATTAGGAAGACAGGTAAATTCATGTCTGCCTACAAATGAGGTTAAAAACAAACAAAATAATGAAAGCATAAGAGAACATTTATTACACAAGAGAAATAAGTATCAATTGTATCATGACAAAAATAACAGAGGAAAGGCAGAAGAATACAAAGTAAATCAGAATGTATTTGTCAGAGAAAGTAAAAATGATAATGTTAAAGGTCAGATCATAGGAACAGATGTTAATCCAAGAACTTATAAAGTGAAATTAGAAAATGGGGAAACTATCAAAAGAAATAGGTATAATATTTATAAGGGGTCTCAGAACACTAACTTTGTAGTTAAGGATAAAAAATAAAAGTTATGATTCACAGATTAAAAATAAAAATAATGCTAAACTAAATAATACCAATCAGATAGTAGAAAATAATTTTGAAAGTTTAAATGAAAGTGTTCAAAGTAATAGTAATGACAATAATTTACAAACAGAGCCGACAACAACAAGATCAGGTAGAATTGTTAAACAACCTACATATATATATGATTATGAAACTTAAGATAATTAGAAAATAAGTACTAGATGATAAATATAAATTTAAACTTAAGGCAATGTTATGTTACTAGTAAAATAATTGTGTAAGTTAAGTAAACTTAAAGTTTAATGAAATATTTATAAACTTACAATAATAATAAAAGTTAAGTAAATATAAGAAGGGAGATGTCAGATAAGTTACATCACTAACGCTTTTAACTAATACATCACTAAGGTAGGATATTAATTATATAAAATAAAGATGGCGCAGAGTGCTAGACTTTCTTAGTGTTTTATTTAATCAACCGACATTACAGCCAGTTTTGGAAATTAAATTATATAGTAAAATGTTCCCCAATGTTTTTAATGATGGGTCAATTGGGCTTAGTACCACTGGTGTTGATGTAAGGTTGATTTGGGAATTTTTATACTAAAATTTGAATATCTGTTACAAAGTTTCAACACACTTTTGAAGACAAAACACCTAAGGGTACAGTTTTTAATTTTTTATTCAATTCAATATTATACAACCAGTAAAAGTAGTAACACCATTGTCACACTGTAACAATCTACCTGATAAACTTTTATGTAGAACAAGTAATGATATTATTTCCTCCTACATTTGAAGCTTTTGAATATTACACATAATATGCTTGGAGGCCTAGAAAGAAATTGATCATAAAATGTTAAATCCAAATATCTACTATTCAATCATGTTTATAATTTGACAACACATTTATTTTTCTTTGTAGGCAAGGTTCATTTATTTTTCTTTGTAGGCAAGGTTATCATTTGCATAGGAAAGAAAAGTTGTTTTAATGATATTAAATCATGAGGATAACTTTGTTAACGGGATCTACACGTACTTTTATAAGGTAACGGGTACAAAGTATGTAAATTATTCGTGTTGTACATTCGCACCGAACAGTATACGAGATCGCTACAGCGCACGCACACATGCAAGCTTGGTGTCAAAGTCTAATCCTCGAAATATTGAATCGCTAAGTATATCACGAGAAAATGCAAATTACTGACAGCAACAAGGAAAAAAAACTTTATCTACCAATGATAGAATAGTGATTGTAACTATTTATCAAACAGTCACATGCTTCTAACGCGAGCATTATATAGAATTTCATACCAACATTTAAAGGTTTTATTAAAATAAAATACCGTTGATTAGCTTAGTTCAATTATTCTTACCATAAACGGGTAGAAGTAATCGATAGGCGACCTAGTGAAAATTAATAATATGATTTTAGGTCTACGTTGCGTATGTATGGTACTCTAATAGTACCCTTCCGTGGTTAAAATATCACACATTACCCGATATCATTATTATTAGCACCGCATTAGTAATTAAATTATTTGTTCCTACAACACAACAAAAATGTTAGATTTCACGTAACACAAAAGAATCCGATGGAATTACTTCGATTGCGTGCACAGATCACTATATATGTAGCATGATTGCGTGCCAAACTCAAAAGTCTAGCAAGCAGCGCCACGACGGTTAAAGTAAGGTATTTTTTTTATTATTTTATGACCTGGTAACAAAGACTTTTAAGTCTTATCTTATTTGGAATAAGGTACTCTGTGGCCACGACCACAAAACAGTAATTTCAACAGTATTGCCAACTCAGATTTTTAAAATTAGCTAGATCTTATCTAAGAAAAGCTGTATTTTTTAGAAAAAACGAGTCTCAGCTGCATAGCACTTTACGCTATTTCTCACTAGGCTAGAATGCAATCTTAGTTCAATCCATTGTTCTAAAATCATGCTTGTGTTATTTTTCATGGTTCTTTATCATTGATGGATAAAGAGGACTTCATATTCATTTTGTCTAACTGGTATGGAATGCAACCTGTTCAGACACGCTGGCCCCTTCCCATCTACATGGAACCAACAACAGAGCTAGTGCGGCTTTTGAAGTGGCTGAAAAAGCAAAAGCATGCAAATACAGGGGTCTAGGCTCCAAATATGATTTTTTCCCATTCGGCGTCGAGACCCTTCGCTGGCGAGAATAGCGACGGAACAAAAATTATTGATTTTAGAGAATAGCATTTTTTAATTTCCTTGTAAATATTTTAGTGCATACCGCAAAATGTTTAAGATTTATTCAGGGATCGACTTTACTGATTGAAGGAAAATTTATCGTAGTATCAAAAAACATAAAAACATTTTAGAACTTTTATTAAAATTATTTAAAAAATCGTCATACAAAGGGGTGTTTCAGACATCAGTCTTTATTCATGAGACTCCAAATTATAAAAATCAACTTATGTCATTTATTAAGCTTTAAAGCCTCTTTAAAGTACAAGTTAAAACTTACAACAGTGTTTAAAACTTTTGTACTTATAGTATAGTATAACAAATTAAAATAGTTTTTTAACATACAATTGTTTTTCAAAATAAACTTGAATTCTTCAAAATAAGTAATGAAAAAAAGTCAAAAATAGGAACAGTAATTCTTAAAAGGAAAAATAGGTAAGTAAAATAAATCATTTATTTTACAACCCCTCATAAAATTGACGATAATAGTTTGGAATTATATTTTTGTTAACTAAATCTATTAGTCCTCGCTTCTTATTTTCTGAGATTCCGTTGCTTTTTTTTATAAGCAGGTTGCAATTTGTAATTTTCGTCCAAAGATTTTGATGCACGTTTAGTAACTTTCATGCATTTAAATTAATTTTCACCGTAAGATGTATCATAGAAAAAGAACCCGTTGTGGTCAGCATCTACTTTTAAAACCTTTATATCTGCCATTTTCACACCCTCATTATCAGTATTTTTATTAAAATTTCTACCCACGTCAGAAGCTAGTGACTTTAATTCGTAAAAACTTTTATGATCCATTTCGATGACTTTGTAAGGAGATCCTTTCTTTTTTGCAGTGCGAATAATTGAAATGTACTGATCCGGTGTATAGATTGGGCCCTTTCAATGACAGAATGCACACTGTCACCTTCATTTTGAGTGTGCCCTTTGATTAGAAATTTATGTGTGATACTATTTATATGAGCAAAAGTAGAAACAGCGCACATGTACATACTAATAATAAATTTATTCTTTTGCTGTCCGCAGCAGTTATCAGAACAAAAAATAATATCTAGTTTAGCTTCAGTTGTTACATCTCTGCCAAGACTTTTTAAATATTCTAAAAGACAGGTCTCTATTTCTATAGCTCCTTTATTTGCTTCTCCTTCATGCCACACGTAGCAGAACGCATTTTGATTTTTCATCTCATAGATCGTAAAGTTGAAGGTATTCACTTTAGAAACATAGTAAAAATTAGACACATCCCCTCTAGGACATGGCATCACAGCCTGTAAGTCATAAACTGGTACTATAGTTGATCCTTTATCTTCTGTTTCTTGCTTGTCCTTAACCTTCTCTATTCTTGAAAGCTCTTTTTCTTTTAGATGGTTCTCATATTTAGACTTAAGTCGATTTTTATCTTCTCCAGTTGCGTTTTTGTAGGCAACACAATCTTCGCACTGATCCTTCTTAGGTTGGTAGAATGCTATGTCAAATTCTCCATTAAATATTCTATTAAACATGATATAATTAGCACTTTTCTCTCTTTTTTCTTCACACTGTTTTACATAATCTCTATAAATTTCTGCAATAGATTTACTTCCATCAATATATTCTTTCCGCGTATCTGCTCGACAGTAATGGCTTTCTATTTTTGGTATCGCCTCAATGAAATTTCTCAAACTATCTTTAATATTATTATCTACACGACTGTGATTGCCATGTTTTCCTCGCAGATCCTCCACTATAATGCCTGAAACGTCACTTCTTGATTTTTCGGTAACTGTTCGAATAAATCTATCAGATACATCCAGCGTAGACATAAAAAAACTCTTACAAACTCGAATTTTTTCGCCATCTTTATCTTTCAAATAAAATGCGTTATTATTTCGACGTGTTCCTTTTTTATATTGATACGTCGGGACAATAGAGGACATATTGAATGCTACAAAAGTTCTTTTACTTTGCAAATCAGGTAATTTATAATATGCGTCAAAAATATGGCGTCGAGTCTCATCATTAAACTTTGTGTTACACTTTAACTTACATTTTTCTGTACATCCTGGTCCTATTCGTCTCTCTCGTATAACTTTATTATTTTTACCTACACATTCTTTCCCTGCATTTCGTAGGCGTTTTGCTACATTCGTTTTCCAAAGTTCTGGCTTCATTTTGTTCTTACGTGTAATATTTTGGTTTGATTCACGTGAAATATTTTCTTTTTCATTCTGTTCTACTGTTTCATCCGAATCTGACGATAAATCATTATTTTCAATGTGATAATTAGGATCTGCGATACTATCATCAGATGAAAAATATCTTTCTTCCTTTCCTTCTTCACTTTCAGCATTCATATTGGTCAATTCAATACCTTTTGGTTCACTTTCTATTTGTAAATTACATTCTACTGCAGTCTCATCTTTCATATTATTATTTACTGATTCTATACTTATCATATTTCCTTTGGTTTTATTTTCTAGGCTATGGCCGTGGAGTTCTTTTTCATTTAAACTTATCATGTTATTGGATTATTTATTACATTCTTTTATTGCTCTATTGCTGGAGGAAGATGAGCTAGAAGACGAGGAAGATGAGCTGGAAGTCGAGGAAGATGAGCTAGAAGATGAGGATGACGATGTGGATGGTGATGTTTGTCGCAAAATCAATTTATTTTCTTCTGAATTATTACCTGAAATTCAATAAACATTTATTTATTTACAGAAGAAATACCAAAACCAACAGTTATCGTTATTGCATGCATTTCACAAGTTTCTTCAAGAGGAACATCATTATGTAATAGAAACACTCGCATCTTGTAATTCCCGGGAATCGAACCCAGGAGGTTACGATCAGCCACTAGCGTAAGTGTAAACTATTTGCAACAGGACAAACTACACATCGGAATAAAAATAATATGGAAAAAAGTCTTACGAGTTTGAATTTAAATATTTTATTTTGCTTACCTGATGTGTTATTATAATTTATATCGTTTTCGACATTTTCATCGCAACTTCTTTCATTTAACGGCAAACTGCTTTTATGTTTATCGGTACCTAAAATATTTTGAATAGTTAAATAGTTGAGAGAATTAATAAAATTGAGACAACCTGCAAATATATGAAAATTGTAGACTGACTTTCTTGTTCACTATTAGTTAAGTCTTGTTGATCCTCATTTTCTTTATTTTTACTGGCCGCTTCTTTCAACTTTCCCAAGAATAACATTCTTTCTGCCATCTTGAATAACTCTAATAAAGATAATTATCTGAAACAAATAATTTAACATAAATAATTAATTATCAATGAATACCATGAAAAAAATTAACTTAATATTTCTATCCCAAAATTCCTGGAACATAGACGCATTTCGTAATAAGAAGCAAAACCGTGCCCATTTTTTTCAAAAATAACGCCGTTTCTTATTTACGACAAAATAAAATCTGTTTATTTTTTGTGAATCTAGACGCAAGTTACATAAAGTCGGTATAAAATACAATATCATAAACAATCACCCATATTTATTCAAGAATACAGGCGTAAATAGAAATAAGATATAAAAATATACTTACTTTTATCAGAAACAACGACGAATAACTAAATATGTCACTATTCTTGAAAAAAAAAACAATTGTTGCAACCGAACTGTAAATACGTCGGTATTTTCGAGAATCGACCGTGCGTTCACTCTGTTGTCATAGGCTCAACTGAGATGAGCCTTTATTTGTGATCACGCTTTGAGTGTTTTTTCTTAAATGAATAATGACGCCTTCTCTTTCTAACGAACGCTGGCGCGAAATTGGCGTTGTTTCTCTGTTCACGATAAAATATCAAAGATTTATGATTGTTTGGCATACATAATTCAATTTGACAGTATTTTGAATTACGTCGATATTCTCGTAAACCAGCGCCTAGGTCCGTGGGGTCCTAGCGCTATAAGGTTTTTAAGGAAATATCAAAAAGGTTAGTCGACATCACTGGAGGCCGAAGAGCTGGCAGCTACGTCGGACAAAGAATTAGTTTAGCTATTCAAAGGGGGAACGCTGCCAGTATCTTCGGAACCTTGCCTAAAGGGACTCCTTGTAATAATTTAATTTTTTAGGTTCATTGTTCCTGTATTTATTTGCAACTAATTACATTTGTTCATATATCCATAAAAAAAAATTTGTTTATTCGACGATTTTGAGAACCAGTTATAAGTATCATGGACTAAATACTCCAAATGCCATGGAAGTTGATCGGCAGAAGCATGAGAAATAGACAATTGAATGGAATGACATGTACATTTTACCATGATGAGATGAGGTACTTCTATTTTTAACTTTTGATGTATACCACTGTGTATTCCAACCATTACCTTGGCGTTATCTACACCAATACCTCGTAACTGCTTTATATTCAGGTCGCGGGAAGCCGCTGGATGCGGGCAGCATGGGACCGATCGTTGTGGAAATCCATGGGGGAGGCCTATG